ACTGGTCTTAGAGCAGACTCCTTGATAGCTCAAAGATGTTTGAGTAGCAAACCAGGAAAGGAACTCGCTCTCAACTATGCAAGATTTTGTGTGTGGGTGAGACAACTGTCAAAAGTAGGCAAGCGCTGCTCTTAATAGGGATGTGTAAGAGATGGCAAAGGAGAAGTGCTGTTCCTATGCAGATTTATGGGGTTCTGAAGTACGTTGATGCAATTTCTGTTTTGTGCAACTATGAGAAGTTTCTTATCCTGCAGCCTCTCAGAATCCCCACAGCGTGGTGGAGGCTGATCTTTTTGGACCACAGTAAGGGCAGCTTTCTTTAATGCCTAGGACTTAGCCCCTGCTAGGTGTGAACACAAATTGGAGTCAGAGGGAGTCTGCAAAGCTTCTCTACAAAGTACGCATACAAGGTCTTACTTGGCTCCTCCATCAGCTTAATTCTTGCTGGAGTTCAAGAGGCCCCATTGCCAATTAATGAGGTATTAACTAGTGTTTAGGTTGTCTCCTTTCTCTCCTAATGACTGTTTAGGTAGGAAGGTAACAAGATTCTTGCCCAGTGCTGTACTGTTTAAGTGAGAATGAAATGAAAGCCGGAGGCAGCTTTTCTGAAGCCACTGTAATGTGGCACAAGATACCGTTACTAGCAACAATCTCGTCCTAAACATTCTCTCAAGTGCACCATTGTTTGTAGCTACAGAAGACTGAAACAGAGAGAAGGAGCCTTGATGAATGATTGAAACGGGAGGCCTGCAACTCTAATATCTGAACTGTGATCATGTCTGTCTGCTGTTGTCTCTGGGGAAAGCTACTGGTCCATTCCTTTCCCCAGCTCCTGTTCCTTGGGAGGGATGTAGGACAAGAGACAATTTTTCCTTCTCAATCTAGTGGAACTTGTTCGGCATTTTCTACTCATGGGAGTAAATTTGAGGTTCCCTATGTTTAAGAGCTGTTTCCTCTTCCTTCCCAAGGAGGAACTGAATGCATTGAACAACTTACGGGGCTGTATTGTAGGGACAAGAACACAGTCTTACAAATCAACATCTAAAAAAAATACAGAGCCACTAACAACTGAATTGAAATTCTTTTCTTTGTTAGGTTACATATTTTTGCAAATGTAAATGGACTGTTGATAAAGTCTTTCTGAAAGCTCCCAGCTTTAAACTCTTTGTTATTGGGAGGTGAGTTTCACTCTTGTAGGGTCAACTTCACTAGGAGTCGCACAAAATTAAGGAAGCAGATGGTAACAAAGTACCTCTATGTAGATGTCTCCCCACAGAGGTGGTAGGCTGTAGGTGGCCTATCTCTGTCATGTATTTTTATTCTGTTACTCAGATCCCAGCCATGAGGGCACAGCAGAGGGGATGGAGAACATGGCAGATGCTGTCACTCACGCCCGATTTGTGGGCACAGATCATGCGAGCGATGAGGTTGTCTTGATGAAAATCCTACAGGTAAGTGGAGACAAATGGTAATTACCATAATGGTTGCTGCCTGTTCTGGAACATATCCTATTACATGGAGATGAAGAGGAGGGAGCAATGTTTTGACTCTGTAGGAGCTTAGTGACAGACTTTATTTTTAAACAGATGGCTCATATACCTCTGGTAAAAGCTTTTCCAAATGAAAATAATTAAAAGCTTAAATGAAATGATTTTTAAATTAAGGGCTTGATAATGTGGTAGCATTGATAGTCCTATCTTGTGCACCGTCTGTGTTAGTGAGGGGTAAAATTAAGAATATGGAGCTCTCAAACTTCTTTTTGAGAAAAATTCTTTGCAGAGACAAACCTATGAACTCTTCAGTCTATGTCCTTTTGAGCAGGTAGCTAGTTACTGAATTTAAATATTGGGTAGCAAGCAACATATCAGGCCTCTTACAGAAGTGGGTTGGGAGATCATTCTTGTCTCCTAATTTGTCTGTTTCTTGAGCGCAGCATTCAGTTTGAAACAACTCCTGGAAAACCCTTCGGTTTTCTGCTCATGGCAGTCCTTCTTGAGGAAGCCAACCTTCTCTTGGAAATGCATGCAAGTGTCATTGTACTATGGGACATATGTGTGCTGTTCTTTGCAGGTTTTGAGGACCTTGCTGCTTACTCCAGTGGGAGCCCACCTCACCAATGAATCTGTGTGTGAGATCATGCAGTCCTGTTTCCGCATATGCTTTGAAATGAGGCTCAGCGGTAGGTTTGTTCATACTTCTGCAGTTAAGAAATGATCGGGTTTCCTCAGCGTTAACTAGTTCTATTGTGGAACATAGAAGCTGCTGAGCTGTATATTATTGTGTCTTTCTACAAAGTTCATGGAAAAACAGTGAGGAGTTCGCGGTAGGGTTGACTTCTCTTTTTCCCCAGCTTTGTGGCGCCACCTTGTGATTATATGCCCACTTGCAGCAATGCAGTGTTGGAGCTGGTTTTAATAAATTTGCTGTAATCTCTGTAAACAAGGCTCGGAGGGGAGTCTGCTTGAAGAAGCCTCTTGATAATATCACACTGAGTAATGACACCTGTGTTATTTGTTTTTGTCTTCGCAGAGTTATTGAGAAAATCTGCAGAGCACACTCTGGTCGACATGGTGCAGCTGCTCTTCACAAGGTAAACCTGCTTGTGTTTGCCTCAGCATTGCCGAGATGGCCCTCTAAGGACAGAAAGATTCCACGCTTCCACTTAAGAGCCCTCAGAAAAATCATCCAAAATGGTCATTATTTAGAGGTGGAAGGGAATGAAGGATTTGGCACTTTTCTCTTCAGGGTCAGCCCTCTGCAGGGAGACAGAGGTAGGGAAGGTTGCCTGGTTTAAGGTGTCTTTTGAGGAGATGGACAGCCAAGTAATGAAGAGCTTTTGTCCTCAGTTTGAGGACAGAGAATGCAAACTTGACTCAAAAAAAAAAAAGTGCTCTAAAACATACAGCTCTCTTCAGGAGAGAGAATAGAAATGGTGTTGAATAGTCACATGTTGATTTCAAGCTGAGAGCTTTGACCTCACATATCAAAGAGAATTTTAAACTCTTGCGATCATATGTCTCGGACAAATGTTCTGCCCTTTTCAACACCCTTCAGGTAATTAAGGTTACTTCTTTTAAAGTCAAGTAAGTTACTTCAAAACTGTTTCTCCAGATAGTGAAGTAATCATAGACTTTCTCTAGGTATTGTAAAAAGGAAATGTGCAGGTATAGAAATACTTCTGGTAGGAAAGGATTGTAGTAAAACTGACAGCTTGTGAAACACAGCTCTCATCATAATTTTTTTTCCCCCATTGTCACACTCAGTTCCAGTGGGTTCTCAGTTTTTTTTATTTTCCTCTGCGCATGTTGTCATGCAGTGCACTGGATGAATGTGGGGCAGAATCAGAATCAATCTCTCCAAAAAGGAGAAACTGCATTACTTTTTCTCCACCTGCAAATGTGAATTTTATTTAGTGCTTGTTCATTACTTATTGTGTATACTCTCCTCTGTCCTTCTTGATAAGGCTTGGAGACACCACCACTATCTGTGCCTGTGGACATTGGGATATAGAAGCAAGGCACAGACAGCAACTGCAGGGATGGTTTGGCCATCTTGCTTTCCAGAAAAAGAAACAGCCAAAGCTATGCTGCAAGGCTTTTATCCCTTCAGCAAGCAAAGATAGAAGTCTAGTAAAGGAACAGAAGGGAGAGCAGGGTATGTGGAGTTCCAGAGCTGTATGCATTTGTCATTTGGTAGCACAGGTGAGAGCTGTCTACCTCCTTTATTTCTGAGACAGGGACTGCTTAGCTCAAAGCATTCTGGTTAAACTTAGATTTATTTTGCACCATAATTGTGTGTGTTTGATGCAAAATAGAGAATAACTACTGAGGTTTCTACAAAGCTAAGGAAAAGGATTGCCATGACTAGTAATAACATGTACACTGCAAGAGTCTTGGTGTGGATGACACTCCAGCTCAGCAGCTGTTTTTAGCAGCATCAGAGAAACCTGTTTTGAACCAATCTGGTTAGTCCACTCCTGAAAACATACAGTGAAGGAAAAGAAACTGTACTTACATGATCATTAACAATGGAAATCAACATAGCAAAACTGCCATTAGCAGTAATAGCATGCGGAGTACCTCTCATCTATACTTGGTTTTTTTTTCGCTCAGCAGATTTTGGCAGGAAAAGAAACTAAGAATGTCTCTTTTGTGGAGAAAACCTAATTTTTGTTTTTTAGCATCTGCAGCATGACTGGAAAGACCAGTCAATTTTTTTTTTCCCCCTTTTTGCTAAACCAAGAAAGTCTGTGTATTTTGGCTTGTTCTTTGTCTTTCAGGCTGCCTCAGTTTAAAGAAGAGCCTAAAAGCTACATGGGGACGAACATGAAGAAAGTAAGACTCTGCACTGGGTTGGCGGTTCTCGGGCTTGCACTCATCGCTATACTGTTTGTTTTCACACTTGTGTTTCTGCATTTCTGCAAGTCCCTAGTTCACTGAAAGAGCATGTTTAACTGCATAAATGGACATAGCTTCATTAATTCTGTGGCATTAAAAGCCCATGTAGTCCAGTAGTGAATCTTGTTAATGATATTGCTGCCTAAGTGAATTCAGTCTGGATTCTGGGAACAGCCATCAGCTGCTGTGGGCTAGAAAACCCCAGGAAGTTGTGGGACCTGATGGTGATGTCTTCTGATCATTTGCTGTCTTCTGCTCTCTCTCCAGCTTCTCTCTCATCTTTCTTCATTCACTACAGGTGTAATACTGAGCTGTCGGGATGTATTTGGCCAGTTCTTCATATGTCGAAAGGAAACTTTCTAAGGCTGGTGAAACGGCATGAAAACATTATCAAATTGGGATATTGTAGAAAAAGCTTTGGTGGCTTCTAGAAGGGGCAGCTTTCTATAGTGAAAACCTTAGCTCACATGGGCAATGCCATTTCTGTTAGCAGACCAAGCAAAGCAGACTGTTCGTTTTCTCCCTTTCTCTAAATGCAGTTTTCTGAGGGTGGATGGGTCTGTGTTTATTCAACACCACCATCTCCTTCTATACAGTGAGGTTTTTAGCAGCTGGATTCAGTATGGCAAATACCATAAATGTGACCATATGTGATAATTAATGTAATAATTTCTTAGGTGGAGAGAGGTCCACTTGAGGAACTCCATATATACTTCTATACATATATATATTATTTGTACTCTATATAAAAAATGTCAATAAAAATACAGGATTCTACTGTTGAGAGCAACAGGATGGGAAGAAGAGTGCTAGAGAAGAAATAACCACTTTTGAACTTACGCTGAGTGTACTGTTAATAACATTATGACTTCCACTCTTTTTTTTATTTTTAATGAGTTGAGAATTCTCAAGTGGCAACATTGGGTAAATGTACATTTCAGAGCCAGTATAACTGTTTTGAGAGACTAAATGCTTACTTGTAGGACTTTGAAACTAGCTTGGGGCTTTAGTTGTTGTGTTGTAAACTAATGATTGCTTGTTTCCCTTGCTGTGGGAGAAAAGTGGCAATATTTGTGATGATGATAGGTTGGGCTAAGGAAAGCTAAAAGAGATCAGGCTAATGTACTGCAGGTATCAGAATTTGTCATGGTCTGTGTAGAGAAGGTGTAATGTAAAGGTGAATTTGAAGGTAGGAAGGCTACCCTTATCAAGTGATGGCTGCTCCCAGCTCGGTTAAGTGATGCTCTGTCTTGTGTCTTGATCTGTGCAGTTACCTTGTACTGTCTGTTTGCTGTGCATGCCAGGAGTCTGCCCTGCAGCCTTGCACGCTGACAGGCTATTCTTCTCTGGGTTTATTTTGCTTTGTTTAAACCATGCATTTGCCTATCTTTCACAGATCTCTTCATGTCTCCTCAACAAACTGGAGCTAAGTAGTGGGGAACAGCCCAAAGCCCTGAACCAATTAGAGAGGGTATTGCTCTTTAAGAACCTGAAGGTCTCTCTCCCTTCTCCCTTCTTACCTCACTCCCCTCTTCCTTCTCTTGTAAAAACCACCTGAGAGATAGTTTTGTTGTGTGCAGCAAATCTTGCTCCACTCATTTGACACAGCATGGCTTTTGGGGGACAATGCATGCAGTGGTTGCTTTGCAGTGTTGTGGCTGCAGTTGGGGCAGGCTTGGGAGGGAGAGACCCTTGTTTTACTGCAGCATTCAGTGTCTTGGTGAGTGCCACCTAAGACACCATCATGGCATCCTCTGAAGAAGGGGAGTGGGAGGGCATGGGCAAGATTTGAGTCCTCTGTGACATTGAAAAACTGAAGAAAAGAAACATCAGAAATGTATATTGTTTTCTGAAGGCTCAAGTGTTGTGTATCTTAGCTGTTGATCTTGGTTATAGATGTAGCAGCATACATAAGGAATCTCTTGACCCAGCATACCTTAGACAGTTTTACTGAAGGTGAATCTCTGACCTTTGTTACTTGGTACAGTATCACAGAGTTCAGTGCTCTCTAAAGCTTTTTTGAAGGAGACTGCTGTACATTTTCAACATCTTTGGACATGTTTCTTCTGAAATTGAATATGGTTCCCAGCACAGTATTTGCTAATGCAGGTTTGAGTGGGGCCAAAATGGATTATGAAATGTGTTAGTCCCTGCTAGCTCCCCTAGAAAATACTCCTAAAGAAATATTGTAGACCTGCATGTTGTTGCTTTTAAACTGATCATGGAAACCCGGAGGAACTAGCTTAGATGGGACCCTTCTCAGTTTGCCATGTTGGTTCATAAACTTAATGTAGCTTTAGTTCTTGTCTACCCTTAATGCTATTTGTTGCCAAAGGACTGAACAGAACATTTAGAGATGTGTTTGCCATTCCTTTGTCCTGTGTCTATGGTCAGGATAGTTTGGAAAGACAGTGGCTGAAGACTTGCAGATTTATGCAGAGTTACACAGAAGAAAAGACTGAGAAATGTTTCCCTTTGCAGTAGAAAGTCTTATAGGTAAACATTTGAAACCTGAGTTTCACAGACTGTGGGGGTGGATTATGTTTATAGTTGCCTAAGATGCATAAATACATTTCACTGGATAAACTTCATTAGTTGTTGCAATGCGGGCAGGTAGGTAGGTGAGATGACTGGACTGCATCTGTGTCTCCAGGACTTGGATCGTGGACTGCGTTCTCTCTGCATGCTTTTGTGTCTTGAACGCTACTTGGTGTGCTGACCAGTTCCATGCTGCATCTAGAATGAGCTCGTGTTTTAGTATGCTCACATTAGTTACTAATCATTGGCCCCTGCCCTTTTCTCTTGAGGCTTACAGTATCTTATGGAAAAACAAACGAGTGCAGGTAAGGTGGCTTGTAGAAAAATGAGATCTCACGGACCCCTTAAAAAGAATTTTGTAGTGTTACATTTTTCTTCACCTTCCTAGACCTTAGCTGGAGTTTTATTGTTAAAACCTCATTTATCAAAGGAAGCATTTGGAATCTTCTAATTTTTTTTTTTTTACAGTTTTGTGTACACGTTTCTTTATGCAAAGGTAACTCAGATAAATGTAAATAGAATCTGTACTGAGTTCCAGATGAATGAGCAGTAGCTCTGAGCTCCCTTTCTACTCTGATTTCTAAAGAGTGTTTTTTTAAGTACTAACTTCAGTTGTTTTTTACTGTGGAAGTACAAGCTTAATCTAATCTGAAGGACATTGATAGTTGCATCAGGAAACTGATGCAACTATAATATCACTGAGCATTGGAGAGGGAAGTAAAGTTTTAGATTATGTTTGAAATTCAGGATTTTTTATGATCTGTTAAATACCATTTACCTGCATCATTTAGTCAAGAAGGCAACCTTAGGTTTAAAATCTCAGCCTGTTAACATGCAGCCAAGCTTTCTAGTGAAATCGGGAAATGCCTTGGTATTGAAGGTAAAAACAAGCATTAGAAGTAGTTCCTTTAGTCAAAGATAAACTGTAGTAGTTTTTTGACATTTTTATACATGACTTTTAAACATGAAAAGCAAGAAGTCATGGGATTGTTATAATTTAATTCAAGACAAAATACTGAATGAAAAGATGTTACTTTGCTTTCCTTTGATACATGTATTGTTTTAGAATTCCCAAACTCAGAGTTTGTTTGTTAAAACAGTATGTAGCCCCTGGACACTGGTGAAACATTTCTATTAAGCATTTCTGTTTGCTTCTGTATTTTTTTAAGCAGTGCAATTGTCATTGTAGTTTGCTATCTCTTATTTATAGGAGATAGCAAAAAGAAAAAAGGAGGGGGTGATATGGGAGGTAGTCCTAGGTAATTCTAGTATAGGTAATTCTAGTAGATAATTCCAATAAAGGATACCTCTTTGTGTGGAATGTGGAATACTGGATGGTATGAGATGGAAAAAGACCTACTGGGTAATCTCACTTGTCTATTAAGTTGTCAAAAAACCCCAACCCAATACCCAATCTGCCCACTCAAAAACCCCAATAAACTTTGATTCTTGTCTGAATGCTTTATACTTTGATTAAATGTTAGGCATTCTTTAAAAATCAACTAAGTCTTTTTGCTTCCCTGACTAAATGGTTTCTCATCCATGTGAGACTGTTGTGACTCAGTCTCTGAAAGATGGCACAGGTTCATCAGAATGATGACAGATAAGCATATGTCCCTTATGAACCTCAGGAGGAAAAATTCTGGCATTAATACAAAGTACAGGACAATCACTAAAAATGGGTATTGTGTCTGAAGAACAGTGTTTTTTTCAAAAGGGCTAGTGTTGAACTGTGATGGTATTTGGTGTTGTGTGAAAGCGGAGATCAGAAATAGTAATTAAATTGTCAGCTTTAACCTTCTGATAGGATGGTTCAAAAGTTACCTGTTTCTTAGGAGCATGGCTGAGCATAAAAGGAGTGAGACCCAACATGGTTAGCTCCTAGCAATATCTTGGCTCCATTTTGCTGATTCCATGTGTGTGTCCCCTGTCACCAACACCCCCCACCCCCAGTTTTATTAGCAAGTAGCTTTTTACCTGGCAAATCATGGCAACAGGATATAGTAGCTAGAAGCAAAGTCTGTTTGAAATCATGTGAAACAGACTTTCTTGGGTTTAACACACAATGCTTCCAGTTTCCTTCCTACTTGAAGTAGTTTGGTACAACGAACCATCAGTGTTCAGGTTTTATTTTCTAAGCTACTGAAAAGGGAGAAAAAAAAAAGACTATTTCTAGAATAGTTGGTAGGCAAAGTAAAACTACCTGGTCTAATTAGAAGCTTAAGCCTTTAATGAATAAAACTCTTGGTAATGTTTATGGCTTAGAGAGATTTTTAAATGGAAAGGGAAACAAATAAAGGTGAAACATTAGGAATTGGCAAGAATGAAAGATAACACATTTTATATAGCCATCTGAAGTAGTGAATAGGAAAGATGAGAGAGCTGACAATTTTTATATGAAGGATTGTGATCCATAAGCATTTTAAAACATTTTGAAATCTATAAAATTTTGGTTTTAGCTGTGTGCTTGTCACATGTTTGCCAGCAGCCGTAATTTAGAAGGAGATTCTTGCTGCAAAATTTGGAAGAAATAAGCAGCAGAGTAATTCTGAGTCTGTTAATTAACAAGCTCAAGAAAACTGTAGCATAGCTAAAACTTGGGGATTAGTCATCAAACAAATAGAATTTGTGATGCAAAGAAAAGTTACACAAACGGTTTACTGCACTGGGACATAACATTTTCACAAGCTTTGTTTAAACGAGAAAAATTACAGGCCATGTACAATGAGTTAGCATTCTAGCTGGAAAAGGGAAGGAGATGGAAAAACAGGAGTGGAACCTAGAAGGTTTATTGGCAGTTAAGAAGAGTAGTATCTGGAAGGAGGCAAGTGGCAGAAAAAGGAAGAGACTAAAGACTATACCTGTCTTCTAGAGAATTTAAGTCTGATGCTAGGGATGTAAGAAATAAGGAATATTATAGCCTAAAATATAACTTAATTGTAATAAATTTACAAAGAAAAATACCAAGTAGGGACTGGTACTGAGACTTGCTGAATGGTTTCCACTACATGCAAGGTACATGTTCAGTGGTTAAATTTTCACCCCAAATTGAGGAGGTCTGACAGCATCAGAAAATTTGACTGCAGCTACCAAACCCAAGAGTAAGTGCAATCCTGCACTTAGAGGACCTTACTTTAGAAGGAAGCTGTTTTCAGGCCTGCCGTTGCCATTGTCAATCTGACTAAATATCATTTGTTTTTTAGTAAGTTCTGGAGTGTCTGAGCATGCCTGCAGTAACAGCACATTGCGGCAAGTGCCACGCAGTCTGCGTTGCTCCTACTATGGGTCTTGTTTGCCCCATCAAAGATCTGTATAAGAACTAGAAGTAGGAACATGGTCAAGAAGGATGTCAAGGGTTAGGTTAGCTGTAGATCTGAAGAGGAGTAAGGACAGAAGGCAGGTGAAAGCAGAATATGGAGAATATGGTTTGTTTCTAAACCATTAGGGTGATATTTGCAATGTGTGGTGCACCAGGAGTGAGCGAAGTGTTAGAGGAACACTTGTTAACAGTGAAATATACCTGGAGGAAAGTGAACATGGCATTGCTATGAAGATGAAGAGTAACTTGAGGCAAGAGATAAGTGATAGAGCTGCAGACTGTGCAGCGTGGGAGGGGGTGCTCAGGCTTCATGCTTGGCCTTCTTGTATAGATGAGTGAAATTTTAATTGAATATCAAACCTAACTAGTACTTGGTTATGTACTTTTAATTGATGCCCTTTAGAAGTCTGGAAACCTTGGCAGAAGCAAAGAGATTTGACATGTGCCTGTAGGTCTAAGAATTATTTATCCTAATGCAAAGGTAGGAGGTATTGATAAGGAAGGAATGCTGTGATAATTGAACTGTTACATATATAATAGCAGAGTAACTGCAGTAAATTGTTCCTTGATTCAGGTGTGGAGTGTTGGCTAATATGTGTGTAGTGGGGAGTCAGGGGCTGGTTTGCATGATTTTGAGGTGCTGATTAATTTGTGTGATATATTTAAGTGCTGTGGCCTGACTTTGAGGGTCTTGAGACAGCCTTTGTGGGTTGGCTTGTGCAATCCATTGTGCTATGTTATGTGGTTTTGCTACACTGATATTCTTAATGATTTGTGGTTTTCAGTTGAAAATGAGAGCTGGAGGAATGAGCGAATCATCAAAATGGAAAAAGCATAAGAGGTCACCAAGGCCACCTCGCCATGTAACTAAGGTCTTTCCTGGGACAGAACAACTAGCAGCCAATGCTAATAACATCACAGGTAAGTTGAAATCTGTTTCCAGAGACCAGACAGCATCCATCCTAGACCTTTTTTGGAATCTGTCTTTATTTCATTTCTCTTAACATGTTGTTAAGAGAATAATTAGCAATAAAGCATATCGTAGCTTTTCAGGTCCAGAAAAGAGAGGGAA